ATTGAGAAAGTTACAATTTGACGACCTTCACGACAATCGATGAAAACTCTGATACAACAGTCTTCATAGACAATTGTAGGAGTTACAATCTGATGACTCCCACATTTTAAATAGCTAAAATGGAGATTACAAAATGATAATATCTACAAATGCCCTAGTAAAAGAGATTAAAATCTCTTTAAATTCCAAAACGCAAAGTTCATTCTTACGTTTCAGATTCACAACGCTGTGCGAACACGGCGTTTTCAGCCTTAAATAGACCCAACTTTGCGTTTCAGTTCTAAAATGCAGAGTTCGGACCCAGAACGCTATTTTCAGCGTTTGACTCATTCAAACATGAGTTGAACGGTTCTAGAAACCGTTTTTCCTATTATTTGAGGGATTTCCGCCCCACTTAAGAGCGGATTAAGGGGGCAGTTACCACCCTTAATCCTCCTATAAATATCTAAAAACTCAACTGTGTTAAGGATCGACTTTTTGGCATCCAGGAGATTGGTATTTTTGGTGTTCGTAGAGATCTCAGGGCGTTCTTCAGCAACATAAATCTTTTGGAGATTTCATACTTGGCTCTTAAAACCTATTTTCGGTTCAAATCAACTCGGTTATAGAGTTTAAACTCATTCCGAGTTCTAAAACTCGTTAAGAGTTATTCTAAAACTTGCCACGCAAGTTTCATTAATCGTTCCGGTGAAGTGAGACATTCAGATCGTCAATGAGAAGCAAGCTCGACACGAGCACCGATGGAGGCAACTCATCGTTACTGTGAAGAACCTAGTTTTAAACAAAGGGAAGGATCTCCATCGACCCTTCTCTCTTTTGTAAATCGGGAAACCGATCGAGAAAATTTATAATTTCTTTTTCTAAGTGTTTGGTGGAAAAGTTGTGAAATAAAAATGAAAGAACTGTGTTTGATTTTATTCTCTCTAACTTCTTAGAAAAAGAATGTTTATAACTCTCTCAATCTCAATTATAATTTTGATTTCCTGATTACAAAAGAGAAGAGAATTGATTTGAATTCTCCCTTTGTTTAAGTCTGAGTTCTTTACGGTGGCGATCGTGGAATACCTCCCTCGAATGCTCGCATCGAGTTTGCTCTTCGTTGACGATCCACACATCTTAATTCACTGAAACTACTAACTTGAATGGCAAGTTTAAAAAAAGAACTCTTAACGAGTTTAAGAACTCAGAGCGAATTGAAACTCTGTCAAAAATAGTTGTTTGAACCAAAAAATCGGTTAACAGCCAAGTAGATTTTTTGTTGCTGAAGGATGCTTGAAGATTTGATCTTCTTGTTGCAAAAGATCCGATCTCTTGAGGATGATTGTCCTTACATCTCACATTTTCTGCCAAAAATCCAAGAAGAACCAACAGATCTGAACTCCAAAAATCCAATCCCTTACTCTGTTAAGTTTGTTGGGGTTTTATAGGAGGATTAATGGTGTAAGTGACCCCTTAATCCGCTCCTAAGTGGGTGTGATTTTCTTGGATCGTGAGGAATACGGTTCTGAAATTGTTCGGCTCATGTTTGAATGAGTCAAACACCCAGATCAGCGTTTGAGACCCTAACTCTACGTCTTAGGCTTGAGACGCAAAGTTGGGTGTTTGCTGGATGCTGAAAACGCAAGGGCCGCTTGTGTTTCGTTTGCTGAGGGTTGGAAAAGTATGGGTCGCCTGAACTGAAATACAAAGGTGAGTTCTGCGTTTAGAAGGGGCTAGTGACTTGTAACATCTTCTGTAAAATATTACAAAGACCATTTTTCAGTAATCTTCACTTTAGTTGTTTTGAGGTGTGAAAGTCGTCAGATTGTAACTCTCATAGTTGATGGTAAAGACCACTGAATAGAGTTTTTATCAGTTGTCGGAATGGCCTTTGAACTGTAACTCCTCTCGATCTATGTGAAGATTCCTCCATTTGTAGCTTTCGTGAAAATCGTTTGATTGTAACTTTCGTTATCGAAATATTGATTGAGGTTTGATAGGGATCAGCTATCCGTCGTGATTTTTAGACAACCTACACTAAGTCTATTAGAGAGATATTGTATCGAGAGAATTGTAATTAATTTTTTTTCCGAGTCTGTCAGAGAGAATAACACGAATTTAATTCTCTATTTTCTTCTTCAAATTTTCCCACCAAACAAATGTTCATAATCAGAGTTAATTCCTTCAGCTAATCTCCAATAATTGACAGGAGGTATAACTCTCTTTCGAGTTCGAGTGTGTTGATAGATTCCATCAGACTCACTCGGGATTCCTTTCAAACCAGGAGATCGGTTTGCTTCTGACTCCTCGAAGCTAGAGATTGATGATCTCCCTCTACCGATCATATTGGAAGTAACTCTAAGGTATTCATCCTTTAAAGTTTTCTTCGTGTGAGGACGTCGTCTCTTATTGTGCAAGGCAACGTTCGTCAGTCGGTCGAACACCGACGGTCTTGATGCAGGTGCATAACATTGGCATCCTGAGAGGACCGTAGAAATCAATCGTTCACATTGGCATGAACAAGCGACTCGTTGTATCGGTCTTTCTCACGATATGAACTTTCTCAAGTCTTTTACAGAAACTCGAGAAGAGCTACTCACTGATTGTGAGGTTTGAACTGGAACCCTCAGTCTATGATTGGACGTGGCTGACTCCTGGTGAACATAGATCTTGAATCCATGTTCGTCTTTTTAAAAGCGACGGATCACTTCACGCTTAGTATTAGAAACACGAAGGTCACGTTTGTCATTTGGAACGCGAAGTTTGTGTTGAACCATTGAAACTCGAGGGTCGCATTTTAGTTGAGCTACACGAAGTTGACGCTCGCGTTTAACGCGAAATTAACCTCTGTGTTCTAGTTGCAGAACGCGGGGTTGAAACTTGCGTTCAGGCTAAGCAACTCGAGGGTCGCGTTCTATGATTAAAACGCGAGGGTCGCGTTCTATGATTGAAACGCGAGGGTCGCGTTTTGACTGAGCAACACGAAATTGAGGTTTGCATTCAATGCGGACTTGAGGTCTGCATTTTAGTTGTGGAACGCGACGCTGAGGGTCGCGTTCAGTCTGGCTTTCGTGAGGTTCGCGTTTGGGCATGTAAACGTGAGGCTTGGGTTTTAGAGTAGAAACGTGAAGCTCAGGGTCGCGTTGAGGCTCACAAACACGGAGTTCGCATTGGTTGGTTAATCAGATTTCTCTAAGCTGTGCTCGTCATAGGAATCTTCTCCTTCGACGAGCAGCGTTCTTCTTTGCCCGAGTTAAGGCTTGTGCAGCGACGTCACCATCTGTATTGATCAAGTTGGTCACAGTAATGGATCTCTTGTGATCCAATACCCTTTGTTGAGGTACGGGTGGAAGGTCCTCAACTCGCTTAGCAAGTTCGGCTGAATTAAAGTCTTCTCTTTTAGTGGGGGAACTGTATGAATGGTATGACCCCAAGGAAAGACGCTCCTTTGGTGAGTCGATGATAGGAGGAATCTTAGTCTCCTTGGAGACTTTGCGGATCTTGCGCATAGCCTTGGGGCTAAGGGATCCAGTGGAAAGGAGTTCCTCATACCTACTTTGGTCGAACTCCACAATAAGAATTTCGACAGTCGTTCCGACGAGCTTGGTGTCGGATTGCGCTACCACTTCTTCATCGGTAAAAAAGTTAGTCCCCAGCGGAGTCGCCATCTTTTATTCGCGGGAAAAATTAGAAGAAATTTGAGAAGAAATGTTATTAATTCTCCTAACTGACTTAGGAAAAGAACGAATACAATCTTTCAAAGTAATTTCTCTCTAACCGACTTAGAAAAAAATTACAATTTTCTTATTGATTTCCCTATTTACAAATTAAAGAGAGAAGGACAGATCCCCCTCTTTGTTTAAGACCAGATTCTTCTTGGTGGCTATGAGAATTTGATTCTTGTATCCCATTGACGATTCGAACACCTCGCTTCGTGGAACTTTGTCTACTATTCTTGACTTAACGTCGGGAAGAACTTGTCAGATAAGTTTTGAACTCTAAACGAGTTTAAAAACTCTGCGAAAGAGTTAATTTCAGAATTTTTTTTTTATCTTTTTTCTATATGTAGTAATCTTTTAACAGCCTACAACATATATATCTAACCAAGCAAACACCGAGTGCTGATCTTATCTTTAATTAATCTCCCACAATGTCACGTGAATGCGGGCCGGGAAATCGAACCCTGGCACTCGAGGTTACAATGATGCAAGCAAACGATCTGAGTCACCCATTAACAGTACATTTCTCTAGCATATATCCTTGTGATTCAGTACTAGGATTTGGAAGTAGCAGGCGCCAGAGTAAAACTTTAGACTAATTTTAGGTCAGTGCCGTACTGCAAAGGTGAGTGCTCTTCATGATAAGCTTTGGTGGGCTTGCGGACGAACATGATCCTCGAATAGGACAAACAAATAGATATTTAAAGATAAGTAAACTAACTAACAATGTTTAAAAGATGACGTCATAGTTAAAAAATGCATGGGTACAAATCTCATAAAAAGCAACACAATTATTTGCTTCCAAAGGTAGTTCCCACTTCAAACCTCCACTTGATTTTGTCTTCTCATCTCATCTTTTTTTTAAAGACTCTTAATTAACAGTTTGATTTAACGTTGATTACAAGTAAGTTCCGTATGTATTAGGTAACTATAATTAGGTTATATCAGAATAGATATGACACATGCGCAAGCATATCTGGACATTACACTACCACATAATTGACCTATTGCAGCGGTTAAGTTGCAACGGTTTTAACTGTTGCGTTAGATATCTATCGTAACAGTTTATAATACCTAATACAACAATTTATAAAAAAATGTTGCCATAGGTCTAATAATTATTCATGTGCTTAATAATTACTCTCGGCTTAATAATTGTTTTTAAAGCCCATGTCCCTGACCGTTTAAACGAAATATCTCTCTCTCTCTCAAATCCTCACGGAAATCCCTAAGCCAAAAATTTTCGCTCCCTAAAATCGCCGTGGCGTCGTCGATCTCATCACTGAACTCGTCGTCATTTCATCTTGGATCTCATCTCCAATCTCCTCTCCGATATTATCTTCAAGGTCGAGCTACTCTCGTTGGTTCGATCTTTCGTACTGGAGATCGAAAGACCCCTCGATTTCAGGTTTTTTCTTCTTCTGATGCCTTCGTTTTCTCTAATTGCAGTTGTTTTAGCACGGAATTGTTCGATTCCGCTCTTGATTTAGGTCTTATGCGGGGACTGGAAACCCTAGCAGTCGTTTTGTTTTTGGGCCGAGAAGTCTGCAAAACCCTATCTCAGTTCAACTGGTTGCTTAGAGATTATCTAAAGGCTCAATGCTGAGGTTTTGTAGCTCTTCTTCTGAAGTTTAATTACCTCGCAAATTTCCCATTCGCTCTTCGCCCCTAAATATTCATTTTGTGATTTTGAGCCCCAAATCTCATTGATGGGAGCTTTGTAGGGTTGGATCAACCAATCTCTTCTCATGATCTCTGACCAAATCAGGAGATTCAATCTTTGCTATTGGAGAACGGAAGGAGAACTTATAAACCACTATCTGAATATTCCTCTTCATGTTAGCCATGGTTACATGTTCATTCCACTATTGTCAAAAAAATCTTAGGATAGCTTATCCCCCATGGTTACATGTTCATTCCACTATTGTCAAAAAAATCCACTATCTGAATATTCCTCTTCATGTTAGCCATGGTTACATGTTCACGCAAAAATATTGTAGCGACATTGTAGGCTGTCTAAAAATCATAATAGATAGCTTATCCCCCATCAACCACCGATGATGGAAGTTACAATCTGACGACTTCCAGAAGGCTGTAATCTGAAGACTTTCGCGTAGATTGCTGAAGGTTACAATCTGACAACCTTCACGACAACTGATGGAAGCTCTACTTCAACAGCCCTCACAATCAACATCGGGAGTTACAATCTGACGACTCTCATATTCTCAAGGAGCCAAGACGAAGATTACAAGACAATGATCTTTGCAACGCCATGACAAAAGAGATTACTTGGTGATAATCTCTACAAGGCAAGACGTGGAGGTCCTCCCCGTGTTACAACATCAAAACGCCAGGGTCGAACCCCGCGTTTCAACATCAAAATGCCAAGGTCCTCCCCGCGTGTCAAACATCAAAACGCCAAGGTCGAACCCCGCGTTTCAATATCAAAACGCCAGGGTCGAACCCCGCATCACAACATCAAAACGCCAGGGTCGAACCTCGCGTTTCAACATCAAAACGCCAAGGTCGAACCCCGCGTTACAACATCAAAACGCCGAGGTCGAACCCGCGTTTCAACATCAAAACGCCAGGGTAGAACCCCGCGTTTCAACATCAAAACGCCAAGGTCGAACCCGCGTTTCAACATCAAAATGCCAGGGTCGAACCCCGCGTTTCAACATCAAAACGCCAAGGTCGAACCCGCGTTTCAACATCAAAACGCCAGGGTCGAAACCCGCGAGACGCTAATTCCTAAAATCTTGTGTAAGTCACAAGAACACATTCCTGTCAAGTTAACATCAAACCTCTGACAAAATCCACTTATCAATCCTCCTCAATAGGATGATAAGTCCACAAAGTTGCTCCAATCGCAACACACATCCTGTCACGTTAACACCATACATCTGACAAATTCACTTATCAATCTTCTCCAATAGGATGATAAGTCCACAAAGTTGCTCCAATCGCAACACACATCCTGTCACGTTAACACTATACCTCTGACAAATTCACTTATCAATCTTCTTCAATAGGATGATAAGTCCACAAAGTTGCTCCAATCGCAACATCCTCCTGTCACGTTAACATCACACCTCTGACACAATCCACTTATCGACTCTCTCTAATAGAGCGATAGGTCCTCAAAGTTGCCTTGATCGCAACAATCAACTTATCGACTCTCTTCAATAGAGCGATAGGTCCACGAACCAGTCAAGTTAACATCACACCTCTGACGACCAAATCAACTTATCGACTCTCTTCAATAGAGCGATAAGCCCATAAAATACTGTTAGGTTAACATCACACCTCTAACAGTCAAACCCTCCTCAATGAACTTGTTAATCCTCTTTCAACAAGAATAGCAAGTTTTTATTATGAAATCCCCAGCGGATTAAAGATTTTCTAGAATTATCCTAGTGATAATAAAGAAAATTTTTGAATTTCACTTTAAGTGAAAATTCATGCCAAAGTTAATACTATACTTCTGGCACTTCCAACTTTCTTTCGGTGTTTCAAGCCACACAGGAAGAAACGACACCAAAATCCATACATTGCATGTATGGGGAATTTTATCCCGAATCCTAAGAAGGGATAAGTCAACGCCTAATACGCGTTGCCGGTGAGTCTTTGACCGTAAAAAGGACAAAAGTCTACGTATTCAACATCGTAGCAGGTCGTTATTAATAACGCTAAAATCCATGCCTTACACGTATGGGGGACTTTATCTCGATCCCTAATTAGAGATAAGCCTACGCCTAACACGCGTTGCCGGTTAGTCTTTTTCCGTGAAAATGACAAAGTCTATGTATTCAAAATCATAGCATCAAGTCTAAGAAGGTTCATTCTCTTAGCACAACGTTATATGTGGAACGGACTTAGACAATCCACATGCTAGCCCGACTCAAACGATAGTCGGTAAAGGCTTATCAAATCCGTTAATGGCTGAGGATTTGCCAAAAATCCTATGTTCGAAGGCCCATCAGCTTAATGGACGTGAGCCGAGACTTGAAACGAATAATGAGAGGGGAAGTATTTAATGGAATTTATAGTTAGACATGTGTCACCATCTCCTTGCTCCACATGAAATTTCCTATAGAGAGTTCTCTATAGGATTTTCCTCCCTATGTAATTGAGTAAGGGAGGGACAAGAGTAATGAAAGCGACGAGCCTCTGTACTACAACAGTAATAATGAGAGGGGAAGTATTTAATGAGGAGTTCGCTTTTCCTCAGAACGAATTGCACGCGAATGGTCGCTTCTAGCCTTTCAATGCAAATAATAAAGGGGTAAATTTGGAATTTATCCCCAAATGAAAGGTTCAGAACCGACTGCTCGCATGTGGTCAGTTGAGCAGTCGGTTCTGAGGTAATGAGGAGTCCTTAATGAAGAGGGGAAATGGTAGTTATGATAATAAGGGCGGGTGGAGCTTCTCTCATGAAGCTTCTTTCATGTATGATCTTTTCGCATTATGTGAGCCCTCACTATAAAGAATTTGTTACATCAAAATTAGGATGTGAGTGTGCAAGGAATTATGAGCATGTTTAGCAAGGGGTCAAAGTGGTTTATAAGTTACTTTTGTGGCTTATAAGTCTAAGAAGGTTCATTCTTTTAGCACAACGTTAATTAATGGAATTGGTCATCCTTGTTAACTTAGATTAATATTATCCCTGATAATAAAATACTAATCATGGTTCCAGCTTATCATTATATCTCACCTGATGCTTGTCTGTGGATGAATGATAGAAATGGCGGGATTTTCTGTTGACTTCTTTTATGTCTTCCAATGAACTAAGAAATATACTTTTGGCAAAAGATAGTTAAATAATGTCACATTTGTATATGATACAGCTCAGAAAAAATTATAAACTAAAAGAGAGAGACCCCGTCACAAGAAGAAAACAAAAAACTTTAAGATAATGATATGATAAAGGCTCATTTGGTCTTGTTGGGATCCCAAATGAATTCCTTTTGTCTCCTTGAATAATAATAGTAATAGTTAAAAAAAAAAAAAACCTTTTGTCTCTAATGCAAGCGGTCGTTAAATTTTGCCTCTTTTCCCTGTAAAGTTTAATGCTTTATAACACTAGAAAAAACTTTATAATTCCTCTTTTATTCCCCCCTCCAGTGAAAAGTGTTTTCCATAAGGAGATAATCTGAACAATGTACGTAGTACAACCCACAAGCACATAATACTTCATCTATGAATCTGGAAACTCTGACTTGCGCCTGCCATATATTCTCACTCTTTAAATAGAACTCATTAATTTTATCTATGTAATCCATAGTAAGTCTCTCTTCATATGAATATGCCATATTAGTTTCAGTATACTTGTTTCGTTACATTTTACCCACCAGCACCTCTCTCAGTACACAAGGAAAGACCAAGCAACAAGAGCAACTTTAGGTAAGTCTTGAGAGCCACCCCATAGGAATCTCCTGCATAACTCTTCGACTTTGAGCAAAACAGTTTCAGGAAGAATATAAGTACTAGTCCAGAATACTTCTTGACTCGGATAATGACGTTCATCGTCTCGAGCTATGTGCGGGCCACCCGGATAATCCTTCTTGACTCGGATGATGACGTTCATCGTCTTCTCTTCGTCTCGAGCTATGTGCGGACATCTATAAGCATTTTTAGACGCCTACAAAACTCTCTTAAACTTTTAAATGACAAGGAGTTGATGGTTTTTTTTTTCCTTTTTGCCCCTGTACATCTCATCCTAAATTCTTGGAGGCTTCTGTGAAATATACCTTAGCAAAAAGTAAATCTTTGCCAATTAACCCGTTTGGATGACAAGAAGTATTTATGGTAAGCTATACACAACAAAAGCACCTAACTCAGGTTACATCCGATACTGTAGAATCTCAAACCCTATCTTGTCTCCAACGCAAGAGGCCTGCACAGTAACTTCACGCACTAGTCTCACACTCAGAATTGAGTCCTGTTTTATGCTTGTATACAAAGCACGTGACAGCTGTACGCTTGAAATTTTTAATGAAGATGTACCAAAAGTTGAAGCTGATGTACCAAAAGTTTTGAGGAAAGAGTCAAGTGACAAAGAAGAGACTAGTAAAGCAGCTAGTCTATGAAGGTAGTTTTCCTTTAATCATTTTATTTTGTATGTTAATGAAAGAGCAAGCAGAGTGTAGCTAGATTTGAGAAATGCTTTGCCCATAAGCGATAATATTTGATTTCTTGTGTTTTTTTTTTTTGAGCTGAAATTTGATTTCTTGTGTTGGATATCAACAACTTGTCAAAAGTCTTAAATCTATATACCCACTTGTTACCCCTCTAGCAATATTAAACACTAGTTTCAATTTATTTTCTTTCATTAAATGTAGCCTTCTAAAAGAAGACATAATAGTATGGCCATGAAAGTGCATGATTATGTCTAATTAACTACTTGGATGGAAACAACATGTAATTAACAATGAAACCAAACAGTAATGTTTTTGTGGTTACTAGTTTTTCTTTTTCTTTCATGAGAGTATGGATAGCCACAAATTTAAGTTCTTTTTCAATATATTCAATGCACAAATTTGATGTGAGTTCAAACAACAGAAATTTGGTGTGAAATCCTAATCAATAATCACAGTGGAGCGAGTACTACGTGAGCTCATGTGTTTGGTACCAGTCGTCTTGACCCTACCAAACATTAAACTCTTTGAAAGGTTATGTACAAATTTGTAACAGTAGTAGCATTAAAATGCAATATTATAATTATGTAACGAGTAATTCTTGTATACTGTTCATGTAAAACAAAACTTGAAATTGGTAAAGCAATATAAGATTGCTTCGTTGATGTAAT